AGGAGTTCGAAACCAGCCTGAGCAAGAGCAAGACGCCACGGCACTCACTCTAGCCTGGACAACAAAGTGAGAGACTCTGTCAAAAAAAAAAAAAAAAAAAAAATCTAAGTAAAAAACCTACTAAAGGCCGGGTGCGGTGGCTCACGCCTGTAATCCTAGCACTCTGGGCGGCCAAGGCGGGCGGATTGCTCAAGGTCAGGAGTTCAAAACCAGCCTGAGCAATAGCGAGACCCCGTCTCTGCTCAAAATAGAAAGACATTAATTGGCCAACTAATATATATAGAAAAAATTAGCCGGGCATAGTGGCGCATGCCTGTAGTCCCAGCTACTCGGGAGGCTGAGGCAGAAGGATTACTTGACCCCAGGAGGTTGAGGTTGCTGTGAGCTAGGCTGACACCATGGCACTCACTCTAGCCTTGGCAACAGAGTGAGATTCTGTCTCAAAAAAAAAAAAATCTACTAAAATCCAGCCAGTTGTCTAAGGCACATTGTTAGGTGGAAAAAAATTAGAAAAAAAAAATTTCTCCTCCTCTTAAGCCTCCAAATTTTTAAAAATTATGCACAATATGGTGCCATTTATGTAAAAGAAAAAGTATATGTATTAGTATAAACTCAGACAAGAAATTAAAAGAAATAAACACCTAGCATCACCCACAGTGACCTTGGAGAGGGGTTGTGGGTGACTTAGAGTTATTGCCTTATAGGTTTTGTTCGAATTTTTTCTAATGATCTCCTAATTCCTTTTTTCTAAATAAAATGTTTACTTTGGAATAATTTCAGGTTTACAGAAAAGTTGCAGGGGTACTACAGAGGCTTCCTGTATTGGCAGAATAATGCTTCTCCGCCCACTTAAACAACAAAAGGGGCTCTGCAGATGGGATTAGGTTAAGGATCTTGAGACGGGAGGTGACCCTGGGCGACCTGGGCCCCAGTGTCAGCACAGGGTCCTCCCACGAGGGGCGGGAGGGTTGGAGGCAGAGAGACCGGAAGACACTCGCTGCTGGCTCTGGAGGGGGAGGAAGGGCCCCGGGCGGAGGGAGGGGACCAGGGTGGCTTCTAGACACTGGGAAAGGCGGGAGACCGGTCCTCCCTGGAGCCCCCAGGAGGGACTCACCCTAATAACACCTTTATTTTATTTTATTTTAGAGACATAGTTTCATGCTGCTGCCCGGGCTAGAGTGCTGTGGCGCCAGCCTAGCTCACAGCAACCTCAAACTCCTGGGCTCAAGCAATCCTCCTGCCTCAGCCTCCCTAGTAGCTGGGACTACAGGCATGCGCCACCATGCCCAGGGAAATTGGCAAGGCCACAACACAGGGACGGTCCGGTTTCGATACATGCGGGTCTTATCTACTTATAATAGACAAATAACCAAACACATGGGGAACCTGCCACATTACAATGGAAAAATGCCAGTGAAGAGAGGAAAAAAACAAAAATACTTGAGGTAACAATACTACATTAAAGTACATAGTAATTCTACAAGAGAGATGTATAATAAAATTAGTAAAGTAACATCCCAACTGTAAGATTCCTTAGTCTGAGAAATAGTAGTTTCAAAGTTTGTTTAACAAACTGACACACCAACCATAGGCTAAAACAATGTAACATGTATCCTTTTACGGTCTGGAGGCAGAATTTAAAATCAAGTGCGCTAAATTTAACGATCGATGAGCCAGGAGCTAAGGAGGCTGCAGTGAGACTAGATGAATGCCAACTACACCCA